GATTCCACTCTTGGCAAATCGAAATTATCCCCTCGATTAATTTAACCTCAAATGTAATCACTCCGACGGGGTTATAGGGGCGCACTGAGAAAAATTGTTCGATTGTACCAACAAGACGTATATGAATTGAATATGATTAGGCATTTTGGTTGAAGAAGAATTTCTAGTGATAAGACTCGATTTTTTATAACTAGAACGTTTCATAGATTTTACTATAAGGATTTGGTTAATATTTTCTGGCTGGATCTATAAAATTTCTCGTTGCATTAATTTCTTTGCTTGCCACTCTTAACTTAACTCGTATTCAATATTTGCCGTGAAATGTATATAAAGAACTAGTATTAAACATTATAATCCAAAGTATATTTTTTTTCTCTTACGAGCAGTAGTGCCAGAAAGAGGACGCTAGCTCTCTGATTGCGTGTGTTTGAGTTGCATCCTCTTCTTGCATCACTGCTTTCATCTTCTTTTATGAGTTTAATTTCTAACAAACTGAATTTAAAATAATTTATTCAATAATCTGGATTGAAGTTATCCCATAATCTTGTTGGAATTCAGAATATTAAACAGACCTTTAAAATTAGATGGAAAAAATTTTAGACGACTTGATGCTGGGGGTTTAGTATTATTAACAAGAAAATTGATAAATTTGACAGCAAGAAATTAATCATATTCATCTGGTAATTCCTACAAGAATTCTGGTTCGTCCATTTTCCAACAGACATGTACTGGTTGAATAATTTACCAGAATTCTAATTAATGCAACTAGATTTTTTTCTCAGTGCAGATTTAACATTATGCGATGCGAGAATGCGCAAAAAAGGTATTCTTTATCTTGACTTATAGTCGAAGGAGAGAGAGAGAGAGAGAGAAAAGGGCATACGCGTTATTTCCCAGATAAAGCTTTTTAAATTCCAATAACCGTGACAAGAGGTCGTCGAAAATTGTTGCGAAATTTTTGCATCAGGAGGAAACTTTTGCGGGGAAAACTAGAGCGCGTCCGCTCGCGTTTCGCGGAAACGCGCTTTAAGCGGAAGAACCACTCGCGGTTTGTATGCAACGTACGAAAGAAAAGAATCGCGCACACCTGCGCGATCAGTCGTGGTAGGTACGCGCGCGTGTGCGTGTACGTACGACATCCTGTACGCTATGCGTATAATACACGTTCGCGCGGGCTCGTGCAAAGAACCTCAGAGTGCACGGGAATAGAGTGCCCGAGTTCCCTCCGTCTGTCTCGTCCTCGACTAGACGGCCCATAGACGAAGAGTGGCTTTCGCGCGAGATTCGGATTGCGCCAAATAACGGGAAATGTCAAAAGCGTGTCTCTCAACCATACGAAACGTTATAATTAACCCCATATATCCTCGGAATCTCTCTACAATATTCTTTCCTTGACGTTCGTCAAATTATTAAAAATTAATTAAACTATTAAATTATTCTAAAAAAATGATGTAAAGAGTCTCTCGCAAATTATAATCCGCTTTAGGAAAAACAATATGGATAATAAAATTAAAAATATATATTTATCTTCTCTCATCGTACCCTTTTCGAGATGTTTTTGTAGATACCTCTGGGATTATCCCCCGTAATTAAACAAAATTACAACGATGATAATCTCGAGGTCTAAATAAGAAATTGGCGCGGTTGGAAACTCGTTGCGGGGCGACGACTGCGATGCATCGTGCCGCCATTCGAAAAGGAAACGCTCGACCGAGGGGGCAGGGCCAAACAGTCGTGTCGGAAAAATTCTCGTTCGAGTCCCGGCCAATGAAAAAGGACCGGCGTGCCCGCGATGAAAAACTTTCAAAGGGAAAGGGCCGACTCTCGACTCTGGTTCCGGATAGGATGGTCCGTTGCGAGTGCACCGCGACTCCGAAATTGTATTTTTTGTTATAACGTTATAAACGAATGTAAAAACCTTAAACTAAGGAACTCTCGAAGGAAAAAAAAAGGAGAAAAAAACTCGACAGACCGCGGCGAGTCGCGGCTGCATTTGACGTACGGGTCGTTTCGAAGGGGGCTCTCTTTCAGGTAAGAACGGCCCATTAAACGCTGGAAAAGTTCCTTTCCTCGCAGTTGCGGTCAATGGCTCCGCCCAAAACGAAAAGCTAAACAACGCGGCAAAATGGTGGCGTTATCCCGATTTAATACTTTAATAGAGAAATATATGTATGGAATATATAAAACGGGATCTCTCTCTCTCGCGCGCCCAGTAGCGTACGAGAGATTAAATTCCTCGCTGGTTGACCGAAATGAAAAATGCTAATCGAGATGCAAAGCTTCGTATTTCTTGTATTTTTATATACATTTCATTACCGATGAAATAATTGTATAAATTATAAATCTCGCGGATTCTAAGCTCGTAAGCGCTTGGTAGATTTCGTCCCGACGAAATAAACAAACGTCGACAAAATTGACAGATTAACGTGGCGCATTTTACGTTTCTCTCGTTCTAATCCAGGACGTTGACTTTAACCTTAAATATACATGTATCGTATATACGCGCACGATTAAAAGAGTGTCGCGAATATTTTCCGCGCAATCGAAGCGATAGCTCGAGATAGCTTTGAACGCAAATTAATTATTCTTTTCTCATTAGAAAAGGGTTATTGAGATATTTAAAAAGGTTATCCACCGGTTTCACATTCTTCTGCGTTCTAACCAACAATACGCACTTGGTGTAGCCGGTTTACTCGCGCGCAAAAAAATATTTATCAATCGCATCGAATGGGGAAAGTAGGTAATTTTTAATCAGCAGGGTGCATAAATCGGAATGAGAAAGAGATTGCGCGGCAAAGAGATTGAAATCTTGGACTTGACAAACGAAGCGACGTTTCCCTCTCGATTTAAAATCACGTCGCCTCCAAAAAGAATATCGGCAAATTTGAAACGATTGAAATATACCGGGGAGAAACGTCCGCGTCTACGAAATTGTTTGGATCCTATCGAATCGCGAGGCGATGGCGCATCGCGTCGCTGCATCGCGCGTAACGAGGTGCAAGGAGCGATCCGTCTCTCTCGACGGGGCCAACGGGCCGACTCGACTCGAGTTTACTCTGAAAATTTCCTTTACCTCGCTCTCGCGCTCATCGCGAGCCACGGCCACGGCGACGGCGTTGACTGGGACGAGACTGCGACGAGATCGAGATGCGCGTCTCGATGAATCTCGGTCTCGGGGAATCGGTCCGCATCCACATCGGCGACGGCGACGGTGACGGGAGCCAAGGCGGCGAGGACAGGCGACGTCTCTCACGCGTCTCTCGACGCATACACGTATATATATATACAACACATATACATATATATATATATATATATATATATATATATATATATATATTGTATATATATATATATCCTACATCTATCGGGCACTCGTCGTCAGGTCGCCGCTCTCCGACGAGAGATCACTGCCCTCACGCACACCCGACACGACGAGACGACTCGACTCGACTCGACTCGACTCGATTCGATTCAACTCGACGAGACCGGGCTCCGGGCTCCGGGCTTTCTCTCGTTCGTTGGCGCGGACCAGTCGGCCAGTAACGTATCGCGAAACGACCGAGCCACCGCTAACCGGATCGCTAACCGATTCGCGCGCTCGACGCACGACGCACGACACGCGTCGTAATCGCTCCGCCGGCCGAACGTGACGGGCTACGCGCGATTTCCGGCCTATTACGAGCACTTGGCGACAAAGAGGACGGCGCGGAACAACGGACGGACGAGACGACGGACCGGGTTCAACCGAGACGTCGACTCTCTTCTCGGAGGGAAGGAGGGAGGGGGGAGGAGGAGAGAGAGCAACGCGCGATGCAGTCGGAGGAAAAAAAGAGAGAGAGAGAGAGAGGGCAATTTTTGCAAATCGAGCGAAACGCGGGCGAGACTCTTCACTCTCGAGGCGTAGCACGCGTGTCGCGCGGAGAAGCGAACGGACGCACACGAGACTTTTCGCGGGTGGTCGTGACCCTCTGGTGGCGGCCGGCGAGACGACCTTACTCGACGACGCGACGTGACACGACGTACGGGACGGGACGAGACGGGACGGACGCGCAGCGGCGGCCAGCGACGGCGACGGTGGCGGTGGCGGCGGTGGTGGCGGTAGACGCGGTACATCGACTCTATCCACCTCCTCCTCCTCCTCCTCGCGTAACATGTCTGTCTCCCCGCGTATGCATATTGCACGCGTGCGCGGACGTTTATCGCAATTTTGTCGGTTTACCGCCAATCGCTCGCTTCCTCCTCGACCACCTTCTAGACAAGTCGCTTCGAGGAAAGAGACCGGAGGAAACGAGTAGAGAAAATTCCAGCGAAAATATCGAGAGAACGGAACGAAATACGCGAAAACCGGATGGATTTTTAAAGCCGCGTCTTTCCGCGCGGACGCGTAGGTTCTGCTCGTATATAGGCCGTTTCGCTAAAAGGACGCCGGCGCCATCTATGCGAGAAGGCGCGAACGCGTTTTTGCGAATCGATCGCGCCGCACGTGTCTCGCGCTCCGAATACGTCAAGGTTGGCGACCGCGATCGGTCGACGAGGAACCTTGCCAAATGACGCGTCAGCCTCGCATTTCCCTGTTTCCATCCGGTCCGAGTACAATATTCTCTCTCTTGTTTCGTCTCTCGCAAATTTACACAATATATTCTCCTTTCCCCGTAATCTACCATTTTTATTAGCATATATAATATGTATGTATAATATATATATATATATTTGTCAATTATCGAATATATTATTTTATTTTCTCTCTTCCCATAAATTATAATAAATAACTCTCGTGTGACTCGTGATTATATTAAACAAAATATTTTACAAAAGTAAATAGCCGTATGTCGCGCCACAATAATGTGTTTAATGAAGAGTGGGAGATGTATTTTTTATGTATATATGTATATATATATATATATATATATATATATATATATATATATATATATATATGTATCGTCTATTTTAAAGTAATTAGACATCCGAAGCACTATGCGTAGTATGCGCGTGTGTGTGTGTGTACAATCTTTGGCGACTTGTATCGTTGTACCTCTTTATTCTCTTCCAAACAATCGAAACAGTGCTTTATTATAGTCCTGCGCGTGCGATTAAAATAATAAATAAAAACGTATCGCCCTATCTCACAAACATGATTGCAATGTAAATTATCTCGCAAAACATAGTCTTTGCTAGTAAAAAAGAAATAAATAATTTCATACGGATTAAACTTGATATGCGGAAATCATTTCCCGTGTCAAGTGCGTATAAAGTATGTATAATCATTAATTATATATCCAATTATCGATCCCATAATCTTGCATCTTCATATAAAGGGACATTGTACCGTGTGTTATACCCAGAAACGTATCGCAGGAAGAGACGCGATTCTCTCATCGCCAACAAGGTCGATCGCGACCTGCCCGAGCTTCCGTTTCAATGTTTAGTCGCTTTTCGATATATCGCAAGACAGAGTTTCTTTACTAGGCTGTTGAGGCTGAGTTGAGGTATCGAGAGAGGCAAGATGGTTGTGTTTAGCTCTCTAACGTGGCGTAAGGTTACAAGTGAGAACTATGAGGCTGTTGTTCGTAAAACAGTACATAGGCTTCACTGGAAACGACCGATCGTGACGACACGACAGACACTCGGCTGTCGTTATACTCGTGCCATTCTCCCGAGTACGGATGCTTACAGTACGCGGTATAATGACCAGAGTACGTCGTACCCGAATGATTCGCTACTCCATACAGATTGTATGTACAGCCCGGAACTCTCGGGGCGGCAAAGGCACTGAGATCTAAACCCGTCAACGGAAAGTCCACCATCACGTTCAGCTTGCCGCGGAAACGTTCCATCGGAGAGAAACGTTTTAAATCTAACAGATAGAATATTAAGGAAAATATCCTTTTATACAAACTAAATCTGTTTTGCTCGCTCTTCGTTTTCATCGAAATTTGCCGCAAATTTCAATTATATAACTATCGATATCAATTTGAAAAAAAGGATACGAATTACCAAAATTTTCGGGAATTTCTGTATGCTGAAGCTCTTGGTACACTTTCTTCTCATTTGACATTTGGAGCATGTTGGTTTTTCGTCGCCGTCCAACACCTCCTCTCGAGTGAAATGCTCCAAGCATTGACTCAGCTTCACCGTACCACTCCTGCCTGGTATTGGCAAACTTAAATCCCAGAACGGGTCGAGAGTGACCGACACGTGATCGCAAGAGGTGCAATGTAAAGACGAACGTAATTGCCCGACGAAAACATCGACTATCATACTGTCTTCGCTGCGAAGATAACGTTTCCAACTCTCGACCGCTTTTTGCATATCCCTAAATAAAATAGTAATTTAGTTGCTTTGTTGTAAAAATCAAACCGTTATGTATACGCGCTTTTAAAAATATACAATCTACACTTACGTATAACTATCGGGTATATCTCCGTGTATGGGTGGTAGCTTTGTGGTGACTCTGTTGACATCTTCGTGCAAACCCTCCAACAAGTATCTGAGAAATTCCTGAGCATCCTGTTGACTATAACCCATAAAACGTGGCGCGAATCTCTGTATCTGAGACTTGAGCGCGGTCGTGTTTACCACGTGATCACCGCCCACCTCCCACAATTCGTGGATCACTTGGCTGAAAGCTTTGATCAGAGCGCCTTTCATGCTCGACGTGGTAGTATTTATGTCGGCCAGATATTGTTCGTTCAGCAAATACTCCAACAGAGGTCTCGTGTTGCTCAAGCACTGAATCACGCTGTTCATGAAACACTAAAATGATACGTGCATCAAGTAACTATATATAATAGTGGCCAAGGTGAAAGAAACCATATATTTCGTTAAGATATACTCACTGTATTTCCAATATTCCGTAAGCCGTTTAGACCACATCGTTCATCGCGCGAAATTTGCAGACGATTACGTGTTGATCTATTTGTCGGATTTCCTTCCTAGAAATTATTAAATCATCGTTATTTATTTACGTAAGTTGCTCTATAATGATTGTTAATTAAACGAGGGCACAGTCTATAGATTGTTGTAAATATCGTCGTCTTGAGAAGTTGTCATTTTTTTCTACAAGTATCTAAAACCTTCATTGATTCTAATCGATGAAATATTGCTCGATAAGAGAAGGCTTAAGCGGGACGGCAAACAAATTACGTTACAGAAACAAAACGCGCAAATTAGATTTGTCACATCTTGTTGTTAGGCACACGTACAGGTATGTGAACGTTGCTACATTTATTAAACTACACATTTATTAAAATACATTTACAAACGGGATAGAAAAAAATGTTAACATGACGTGTCTTTAGTTTATAAAAAATAAAAGCGATCGATTTAGTCGGTAGTATGCGGGAAAACTGACAAATGAAAAATATTTTCGCAATCTCTCGAGTACTCACCTGTGAATGTGAGACAAACGAAGAAGATTGGACGGTATGCGAAATGGAGCGGAGCGGAATTATCGCCGAATTATCGACGCGTGTCGAATTAATTCTGGTCGAAATACGTTTATAGGATATCAAAGGTGTCGCGATGCCGAGGAAAAAGGCATAAGCGGACACGAGGCTTATCGCTGTCCACAGACACCACAAAGCCCATCCTATTGCCTGGGTGTGAGCCAGTTTACACGATTGGTCACTCAATTTCCAAGAAATAGTATTTCGAAGAATAGCATTTCTCACAATTATACGATTTTAAAATGTTCTTCTTCGCGTTGCACGCAATGCGTCGCGCGTGCATCCGAATAAACGAAAAATGATTCATTCTCGTCACGCCTGTCGATGTATGTTAATCATAAACGTTACTTAATGACATTATATCTTGTAATATCATTTTCGTGCGACGAAAATTATTACTTATTATTTTTTTTCACAAACGTCATTTTGTTATTTAAACGCAATGGACACTTGGAATGTCGATACTTTTTTACAAATGCATTAAACAACTCGCGTAAACTCTATAACCGGGACAATCGCAAACAATTTATGAGCCAAAGACGCAATTAATGTACATATGATGGCTTCACTCGCTTTACGATCGCGATTATTACTATTGATACATTGTTGATTACGTGAAATAATCTTTGCGTGAACAAATGTACAAACTCTGGAAAGACAAGTCTATCGTAGATTACCGCGAAATACTGTAGTCCTCCATCTCCCAAGGAACTCGAGAAGAAGAGAGAACGAGCTCTAAGCTATTAATAAAACGCAGCGACGCTTGCGATTAACTTTGAAGAGACTCTAGTTGGAAAGACGGCGAGAGGGCAAAGAGATGTCGTAATAGAGATGGGCGGGAAGTAAACGAATCGCGTGTGGCGGCGTAATTCTTTTCCCTTGACATGTGTCGAGGCACGAAATCCGTTTTCGTATCGAAGAAGAAAATCCTTGCAACAGAATTTTTCTTTGGATTATTGACAAAAATATAGATATTTTATATCGCGAATCACGCGATTTTCAATACATTTTTGCGAGAATTATTAACGCGATTCCACATGTCTTACATAAATGTCCAAGCATCTTGATCTCCCTGTATTATACTCGCGCTTTCGACTACTACCGATTCTCGCAAGATCCAACCTCGTGTAATTATGAATTCAACATTTTGAAAACATTAGAGCACGGTACAGCACGACGGAAATTAATATAAAGTATATACGTAATAGAAAAATATAGATATATATATATATATATATATATATATATATATATATATAATATAATTATATATAATATATATATATATATATATATATATATATATATATATAATCTACCCTGCATCAGACCGAAACGTTTACAAACGCACTCACGTATTGCTCGTTGACACTGCGATAAATACTCTGATGCGCCGTGGATGGATTTGTCGGGGACGATGTCTGGTGGCCGGTATTGGAGAAGAGAGCAGACTGATCGGTTCTCCTCGACGTCGAAGGAACGGACGGATCGTCGCCGTGCGTAACGGACGGTCTGCCGGCTACGCTGTCTATCGGCGGCGCTCCGCCAAAAGCATCCGAGCCATCGTTCCTTTCCTTCTCGCCATCTTCGGAAATATCTCGGTCGTTGATGCAATTATTTTGCAGAAACGTGACGATCGACGGAATATCGTCGGCGCCGCGCGTTACCTTGTTGCTCGTCGCGATCTCGCCTTCTTCCTCCCCTTGTGTCACCTTGTTCCGAGCGTTGTTATTGATCAGCAGTTCGTTACGAGTATTAGTCGCGTGGTTAGTTAACAGGTCAAGGCTACTAACATCACTAATCAAACCACTACCACTACCACCAGCGGGGGTGGCGGGAGAAAGAAGATTATGCTTAGCGGGCGAGACCTCGTCCGATCGGTGGTGGCGCTGTTGATGGAAGCGATGATTGTTGAGATTATCGTCGTCGTTGTTATCGTCGTCGTTGTCCCCGTCCTCGTCGTTGTCGTCGTTGTCGTTGTTGTTTACGCCGTATCCGCACGCGATATCCTCGTCGTTGCTATCCTGCCGGGTGTTGCCAAGGTTGCCGTTGTTGTTGTGCCGATCGTCGTTAATGTCTTTGGTACCGTCGTCGTGGTCGTCGTCGTCGTTAGCGTCGTCGTCGTCGTCGTCGTCGTCGTTTAGCTTACGCGTAATATGATCGTCGTCGACAATGTTTGTTACCTCGGCAAGAGACGCGGCGCTGTCCGCGCGTGCATGCCCGGCAGCTATGGTGAGCACCGTGCTGTTTGTAGGTATCGGTCTTCTCTTGTTTGTAGATTTTGACCATAGGCCACCGACCGCGCCGGTAGTGGAGGCGACGGCGGCCGACGAGGAGGAGGACGACGAGGAGAGCGAAGACTCTGGACGTAGATCTCTGCGCTCCGCTTCGCGCTCGTCGCCGCCAAACAACTCGTTTAGAGACGACGACGTCGAACGATGCCTCCAGTGATGCGCGCTGCCGCTACTCGCTTGTTGCTGACGTTGAATATTCGGCACGTAACTGGATGGCGAGTACCTGCTGATAATATCCGCGGCCGCATCGACGTTGTCGATCTTGCGCTCTCTCGAGGACGATGAGGTCGAAGAGTATCTGCCGCTGCTGGTGCCGTTGACGGTGCTCGTCGCAACACCGCCACCCGTTTCGCCGTAGGACGACGATGAGACTGATCTGTAAAATTCATCCAAGATGTATGTAAGAATATTGCGATCGTCGTGTTTCTCGTCAAACTGGGCCTGCGGCCAGGGCTTCGTCTGCTCTCCTACACTCTCCGCAATTGCGTTGTGCAATGCGCGCGAGTGTAGGAGAGTGTAGAGTATAGACGTTTCGTATTTATTGGCGAAGAGAGAGAGAGAGAAAGAGAGACTGACACGCGCATGTTTGAAATCCAAACGTTTCCGCTAAACGAAACTATTCTACCTTGTCGATATCAAAGTTGTTTATTAATCGACTCGCGATATCGTTTACAAAAATGCGACAGTCTCGTAATTCAATTATATTCATATTATAATTCGACTCGAAAGAAAACTCGGTGCAAAAATATTCTTCAAAAAGCAAACACATATACACAAATATTGCACACAATCTTGGTCAAGGTCTACGATTACATTTCATGGCGCGAATGTGCTTATTTAAAATCGATAAATATGGCCACGCGCTCCCTCGATAATAGCCGCGAATACTGCTTTATAGCGGTTGCTTTTCATTTCGTAAAGGGATAAAGTTATCCGATTCGGAATAACAAGTAGCAAACATAGCGCGCGCGCGACCCATTTACGATTGACCTAGACCTTTACTGTCGGTTCACATGTATGAATATATCTCTCACTGTCTTTGTAATTGAATTATAATAACGCGAATAAAAGCAAGTTACTAAATTTTAATGTACAAGACTTGATAAATGATTGTACTACCATCATCGAGAAATATGTAATTATGTATTATTAAAAGAATAAAACGATATTAAATTTATCGTATAGAATTTTAAAGTTATTTCTCTCACTCTCTTTCTCTCTCTTTCTCTTGATTATAAAGGTGCAAACAACTTGATATCGGTTAGTATTATATGGCTATTGTGTAGACATGTCAACTATCAATTCCATCTGCATCGTGAGACAAATGAAATGTTTCGTGTTCCGTCAATCCTTCTAAAGCCTATGTCGGAGATTGCTCACCTTGCAGGTGAGCAGTTGGACCGACTGTACTCCGACGAATAGTTCCTGCGGATGCTCGTGCCGATAGAAGCCGACGAATAGAAGCTGCAGAGTCGATCGATTATGTAAACACATTTTGTCACATTTTAATTTAACATTTTGCGGGACAGCGCGTCGATTCGTTATTAAGTTTAGTTATATCATTATAACAGATTATTCTATTTCTATACGTAATTACAAGATTCTTGACTTGGTATTTCCATCTATTCAACTGACAATGAGTCTACTTAAACTCGTGCAACGAATGCTCTACATCCACGTGGCTGAATGAAACGTATTCTTTTTAATTCAGCATAAAGAGTCTCTCTATTTTGTTCAATTGTCCACTTTAGACAAAAGTCAAAAGGCAAGAATCATGTGCATTTCATTGAAATATCCAGTATTACCTATTCAAAGGCCTTTTCAAGGATAGTATTATTTTACAGAAAGACATACGCAAAGTCTATCGTCTCGCAATTTCCTAGCATTTTCCGCTCTAGCTCTATACTCGAGATGTACTCGAGATGCGTACCAACCTTGACGGGGGGCAATAGGATCGCCTGTACTCCGAGGAGATGTAGCTGGAGTGCAGACCCGCCGAGGACGGCGAGTAGAAGCTGGTGGTGGGTCGGTCGAGGAGCGAGGAGGTCCCGGCAACGGAGGACCGGTAGGTATTGAACTTGGACGTCGCGCCGCCGATGCCGGACGAGGCGGTACCGCCGCTACCGGTCCCGCTCGAGTATCTCCGGTTGGGCGAATGCGGCATTGGACTCGTGCTGTACGACACCGCTACGGCGCCCGTCTGCCCGCTGCGATGATACGACATTGCGCGTCCCGACTCGCCAATCTCCTCCTTGAGTTTCTCCGTCGAGTGCCTGAAATTCATTTTACTGCACACTATTCTCACGCCAACTCTAAAAAATAAAGCGTAATATTTTATTAACAGAATATCACGGATTTCAACGTCGGCATTTTTTTTCTCTCGACACACGTGCACACGCACACACAGCATTTCGAGGACCGAATGGTTCCGAGAAGACGCGCCGTCTCTCGTTTCTCTCGGGAGAGCTTTGATCCAAAGTGAATTTGATAATCGCTCAAAGCGTACGTGTGTCGGAAACTCTATTACCCACGCGCGCGTATAAGTAATAATTGGGCTTCATACTTGGTCTTCGCATGGCACATTTGACACATTATACGGGATAGGCCATTTTAATCTACGCACTGAAATATCTCAAAATCCATAAGGTAAAAATGTTTCAGACAAAAGTTGTACAGCTTGAAGGGGGACATAAGATGGCGCCATTAGTTTGATCTTGAAGAGTCACCTGAAAAGTATTTTTTCATCACTCGGAAAGTACTCAATGAAAAAATACTTTATTATAGTGTTTTGGAAAGCTCTTGAGGCAAGCTACAAGAATATGTAAAAGTATATAGGGTGTCCCGTTTAAAAAGTTGGAGGGGACCTTCACGTTACCTTCAGGTGACTCTTCGAAGTCAAACTAATGGCACCATCTTATGTCCCCCGTCAAGCCATATAACTTTTGTCTGAAACATTTTTGTCTTAAACTTATGGATTTTGAGATATTTCAATGCGTAGATTAAAATGGCCTACCCTGTATAATTATGGGCGGCAAACGAGAAGGATCATCGTCGTCTTGGCGCGCGATACGACAAATTCGTTCGACCTCGTCTCGCATGATCTTTTCTACAAAAGTGTGAAAAATCGCTATAGCGAAGAACGATCCGTTGTCACAGCTGATTGCATTAAAGCTCGACAACGTGTATTCGGATTTGCGATTCGCCAGGACACGAGTTATATTTGTCGAATGCAAAAAAGCCGCGAGGAGATTTTCGTTTGTAATAATAGAGCGACGGCACTCGTTCGCTAACACTGTCGTTATATCTGTCGTTTCTATAAATAATCGTCCTAATGGTCGAGGAAATGGAAGAAAACGGAAAAGTGGCCGGCGTCGATAGATCGCGGATTCGACGCCGAGAATTTTTCCCGAGCGATTTTTGGCAACCGTCCCACTTTTCATCAGAATCCGATGCGTAGTAGAAGGCCGGAATCCAATATAAACCGTGTCGTTTCGGATTTTGTTACAAAGCTACGCGGCGCGCGTGCACGTAAACTCTTACTTTGCTCAAGAGTGCCACGATTTTGCGCTCGAATTTCCGTTAAAAATCAAAATAACCTCGACGCGCGTAAATACGATCCGCGATGCATAAAATAACGTAACAATCGTCGAATAATTCAACACGATATTCATTTGCAATATCTCTAGATATCTCGTTGACTTTCGATATCTCTTACGGCGATATAGGCGCGAACTTTTTCAGTAAATCGAACGAAATTTGTCGAGAACTCGACGATGTATCTCGTAGGAAAAAAAAAGTCCGAGTCGAAACGAGTCGAACAGCGCCGAAATCTAAAACAATTCGCTGACGAAAAAAACGATAGACGTGTTTAAATAAACGTAAAACAGATTATTATATGTTGCGCAATCGTAACTTTTGCGGCAAATTACATACTTTGCCGCATACTCGTCAGGACGAGTGTTTCCAACAACGGTAAAATCGATATCATTACATAATAGTGTAAAGGATAATCGAATAAAAATGACGCGATCGAAAAATGTCACGATATTAACTCGTTATATGATAGAGTATACGGTATACGATATTAATTAAATTTTATTTTAATCGCCAATATGTAATTAATAACACATTGTGTTTTAACAGACAAGTAAAGCGAAAATTTATTTATATTTCAATCGCGATAAACACTCTCGAAGATCCTTTGAACTACTTACGATAATAATTATAGAATCGAGATAATGTCCCTGACGAGCAACGCGTGACGATTCGCGTTCGTCTAACCTATCATTATTACATTAGATTAATTTATATACTACATACTATATATTTAACAATAGAGAGATTATCGGGATATATATTATTTTTCTGTATGGAAATTATTTTTGCATCATTTAATTTAACATTAACGTATTAATTAACGAGGAGGGACATATGCGACATCAGCGGATTCTGGAAATAGATTACAATTTGATTAACTTATACAAGAGAAACACGGGAATTATGACATAACGCGTGGGTTCCTTTTGCTGCCGTTAATTAATTTGACAGCAATTTATCTCCGGCTGCGTTCGTTTACTTAACCGGCATTTAAGCCGGCGAGGTTAAAAAAAGTGGCACAAGTACCATTCGCAATTAATATACGTATTTAGTCGCGCTTTTTCAAGGATCATCTCGAGCACACACAAATGTCGAATCAAGAGACGAATCATTAAAGATTATCGGCTTTATCAAGCATTTCTCGAGATTCGACGTTTAAAAAGAAGAAAAAAAACTTTTTTCTTTAAAAAAAGGAAAAAAAATTATTCGAGCGATAACTCGCACATACTATAGACGATTCGCGAGTTATATAATACAGAATTGATAGATATCGGTACACGTATATCGACGACCTTAAGGTTTCATCGAGTATGCTAGAGAAGACACCGATCGATATCGCATCTTCCGCCAAAGGCACGAATGCGATGAAATATATATAATATTAAAATATTCGCAAATGTCGCACATGAGCATTTCAACATGTTTACATTTACTTTTCCTCTCTTTTCGCGAAACATTGCGACAAACGTGATCCGCATCGTCGATTCATCGGCGTCCCGAAATCAGATCGATCAGGATCGTAAAAATAGCCCCGCGTCAAAATCCCGTCAACTACAACTCAAGTCCACGCGCCCGACAGAGTTTGCGACTGTACATCTTTAGAAGAATATACATGTAATGTAACGTATATAAAATATATTTCATCATCGAGGCGACAAGTCATACGTGAAACGAGTCGCGAAATTAATATACCTGATACTTTTGCCTCGCAACGAGAGAACTCGCGCCTTGTCATCTCGGAACAAGTCGGATGCTTCGATATAAAATGCATAAAAACGACAATAAGGAAAAATCATCGCGAAAAATGAATGTCACGATGAAAAGCACAAGTATTCGCAGCCTCGAAACTCGTACACGAATGTTGGACTAAACTGACTTTAACTCGCGACGTATTACATCGGTTGCGATTCAACGCGCAACAATAATAAATTGCGAGTAAACGAAAGCGGACTCGTTTAATTCACATTCGCCTTTTTTCCGTGCGCGTGTAAGGTTAATATTACATTTGTCGTACGACAAATTTTTTAAACACATTAACTGGCTGCGGAATAGAACGTTTCTAAAAGCTCAAAAAATTACTATCCCGCAGCCGATCGATGCGCTTCAAAAATTTGTCATACGACAAATATAATATTAGGCTAATAACGTACCCGCAGATTGATTTCTCTCGTTTCGGACGATACACTCGCAAAGGGAGGGGGGGGGGGATCGCGTCCACGAATATTTTTATACGACGACTGGATAACCTAACTATGGTCAGACTCGAGCCAAGCGTTTGCGCGTCCCTCTCTTCCTCGACATTTGATCGCAAGAATTCGGAAATGGGGTAATTACACGTTAACGAGGAATCGTCTCTCGTAAATGCGTCCTGTCAAAGCGCGACACGCTTATGCGGCAAAAGTCGACGAGCCGGGGGAAAGAGAAAGCGCGAGGGTGGGTGGGTGGATGGCTGGACGGGGGAGGAGGAAAAAAAGTCGATGGAAATACTCACGGCGACCGACGAGAGACAACAAGATGAAGCGCAGGTAATGGACGCGCGGCCAAAAATACGGAAGGAGACTCGAAAACCTGTAGGAAACCTATAGGAAACCCGTCGTCGATTGGTTATCGAAAAACTCACCCGTGACCGTGACACTTGGCGATCGCTCGCGTCACGATTTCCTTCTTCGGAGACGGAGAGGGAGGAGGGGGGCGAGGAAAAAACAAGTCGCGGACAGAGTCGCGCGGCGAAACTAGTTCATCGGGCCATCCTGACGATGACGTCACCGGGAACGCGCGGTCCGAATTCCAATGGGCGCAAAACGATATATTGGGTCGGTAAAACGAGAAGTTGGTAATCGGCGGAACACGCGGCCAATCGCACACCCGTGCGTACGTATATGTACATGTACGTGCGTAGAGAGAAGGACGATCGATTCGCGTCGAAACTGGCCTCGGCGCGTTCCTGCTCTATTACTATATGCGGGCTCGCGTAGCCTTACACGTTCCGATTCGCTCGCGTGTGTGCGCGCACGTCTAACGTAATAACGCGACGCCGTTTAGCGTTTCTCACTCGGGATCGTCTGGCGATTCCGCGCTATTTATTACCTTTCGTCAACGCGTCCTCTCTCAGTCCACCCGACACTCGCCCTATCGCGATATTATCGGCACTGGTACGCCAACAACGTGCGCGCGAACAATATGGCGATACAAGATTGCCGATTTCCGCGTTGACAGTCATCGCATCCTTTACGGCGCGACGGTGACGGCGCGAGGCGCGACGACGAAGGCGGACGGGGCGACGGAGACGACGAGGGCGACGGCAGCGGCAGCGCCGACGATGACGACGACGACGACCGCCTTCTGCGCTAGCGCGCGAAAAAGCGCGCCCGACGCGACGCGCTCGCCCGCCAAAATTCTCATCCTTTGGAATTCGAGTCGCCCGTCTCGTCGTTTGTAAACCACAGCCTCGTATCACCTCTGTAGCGCACATGCGGCAAGTTTGTCGGACGGCGCTCCGATTGGCTGTTACCGCGGAAAGCCTAGAAACTCCCTAGACGGAGATTTTGTCGGAAGGCGCTCCGATTGGCTGTTTGCCGCGGAAACCCTCTAGACGACAGCCAATCGGAAGAGTTTTCGGGAATATCGCTTAAATTGGAAGTTCACCCAAACTTTGTTGCACATCGGACGAAAGGGTACGAAAGAGTAGTATGGAGCGGATGTGACAAAAACAAGAGAGTATTGTAAAGATGTGTAGAGATGCGTTTGTTGCATTTGCGTTATTTCTAATATTATTTTGCGACGCAACGTCATCGGAATGCACGCAACAGGGTCCTTGTATTTGTACGCTATCGGACGGCTATTACAATCTGTCCGCCCTCGCTGATCAATTGTTTGTATATTTCGAACGATTAACCTTTAAGTATTTGTTTTTCTCGCGTAAAATACAATAGAATGTTCGTTTCTTTTTTCAAATCCTAGAGAAAGCAAAAGTACATTTTTCGACTAAAACTGATGAAGAAACAAATTAAATATATTGACGGATAAGTTGGCGCGCTTTAAGGATTTTTTTTTTTTAAATAATGTAGATTTTTCCTCTACTTTCCTTTTTTTCTAACGATATCAATTACTTTATGTACAGAATAATATTAATTAATGTAAACAAATTTATATAGCGCTACATGTAAATATTTTATATATATTAAACCTATGTAATGACATTTATGTTGACGTACCATTTATTTGAGAAAGCATATAGAGAATAACATTGATTATTTTATATCAAATATAAAATAACTTATAAAATGTTATTTAATAAATTTTATTTATGAGCTCGTATCTAACATGTTGGTTTTAAAAATGTGTCTAATATTTACTAAATCATAATTATAGATTATTGATTAATTGATTCATATATTTTCAGACCACTTGAAGATACTCTAGGGGATTATACGATATATTTTCATCCGTGCACAAATGTTAAAATAAAGACACAGAGCAATATTATGTGTGCCAATGAAAGTAAATTATCGGTAAGACTCAAAATACAATTTTAATTAAATCTTATAATAACTAAATCTTATAATATATATATATGTCATTAGTTGTATTTGTATTGCATTATGATAAAATACTCTTGTAATTTTTAGTTAAAAAGTTTATTTATTTAATTATTGTGATTATAGCATTGGAAAGAAAAAATTGTAAATTCTTTTTTCATGCATGATATATATTGAAATAAGTTTATTATTTTAATATATGTAAATAATTTTGTTTGTACAGTATTTGCATTTGAATAATGCAGATTGGTGAAACTTTCATTAATATATTAGCTAACAATTATAAAATATTTTTCTTACAATTATCATAATTTATGTTCTTGCTGGAAACGTATGTAGATTGAGTTTTATCTGTTTAAATATCGATGCGAAATAATAAGGAAATTTTTGATATATATTTCACCAATATATATACTAAAAATATTAATACAAAAAGAATTAATCTATTTCAATGTATAACATAAGAAAATTTACATATTTTTCGTTTTCCTGCTCTATAGCTATAATAAACAACAAAAGCCTTAATGATGATAATTCATGTACTCAATTTACAAATTTTAGTCATGTTTTCTAGCTAAAATATGATTAATTATTTCCTGATAGAAAAGTAAATTAAATAAAAGCCATAAATATTATATTCTTATAGGTATGCATATTTGATAAGCAGAAAAACTTAACGCAAAGTTTTGGGACAATAGAGGAAACGACAATGAAACTGCCGAAAGGAAATAAATATCCGATTTTTGAATTACATCATAATAACATTACATTACAGATAGATATTATATGCCTTCCTAATAGCAACGGAACAAATTTCAAAATAGATAAAGGGAATAAATTTCCTCCCTCTAGCTCTAATCAATACGTAAGTACAAAAGTAGCAACAAAGTACTGTCATCAGTTTAACGATTATACATTTAAATACATATGTAAATTGTATGTAATAATGTTTACAGCGTTTTTTCTTGATATCACCATATGGATGTAAAGAATCGTACAAAGGATTATCCACTGGTTCCGTATTACTTATCCTCTTCTTTACTGTCACTGGAATATACTTTATTGGTGGAATCGTAACATTAAGAATATTGAGGGGAGCAACAGGCTGGGAAATGTTGCCAAATCATGACTTTTGGTCTAACCTTCCTCTACTAGTCAGAGTAAGTAGCATCATTGTCATATTCCTTGTAAAATGGTAATCATTGCTATTCGATTTAACTAAAAAGATTATCTTTTTGTAATTTTCTACAGGATGGCATTGTCTTCACCTTTAATTGTTGTCGAGCAGATAGTTACGAAAGAATATAAGATTATTTTTACAAGTTTTGTTTATAAAATGTGACTTTACAATTCAGTATATTATTATTATTATTATTAAATAGCATATCTGTAGTATATCTTGGATTATTTCTAACCATATTCGGTATTAATACATTTTTATGTACATTTATTTAATTAATTAACAGATAGATACATATTTGTACATTAATTTGAAGAATTGCTTACATTCGATTATTATTATCTTTTAATTTTGTTTTGCATATATTTCTGTTAGTACCAGTATATGTTAAAAGACAAAGTGTACATACACCTAAAAATGTGATATTATAAGTTATTACTATATTATGTGTCAATATTATTTTTTTCAATCCTTAGATATTTTAATTCAATACAAAAGTAGTTTATATACAGGATATCCGGAAAATCGCCCATAATACTAATATATAATTAAATTTAAAATTTAAATTTAAAAATTCAAATTTAAAAATTTAAATTTAAAAATTCAAATTTAAAAATTTAAATTTAAAAATTCAAATTTAAATTTAAAAATTTAAATTTTAAATTTAAAAATTCAAATTTAAATTTAAAAATTTAAATTTAAAAATTCAAATTTAAATTTAAAAATTTAAATTTAAAATTTAAATTTAAAAATTTAAAATTTAAATTTAAAAATTTAAAATTTAAATTTAAAAATTTAAATTTAAAAATTAAATTTAAAATTTAAATTTAAAAATTTAAATTTAAAATTTAAATTTAAAATTTAAATTTAAAAATTTAAATTTAAATTTGAATTTTTAAATTTAAATTTTTAAATTTAAATTTTAAATTTAAATTTTAAATTTAAATTTTTAAATTTGAATTTTTAAATTTAAATTTTTAAATTTAAATTTTTAAATTTAAATTTAAATTTAAATTTAAAAATGTAAAATTTTAATTTAAATTAAAAAATTTAAATTTAAAAATTCAAAATTTAAAATTTACATTTTAAATTTAGAAAAAATGTAAAACAGAGGGATGCCAAGCGGACTATGATATTTTTAACATAAAAGTGGTTACTCGGAACGACTTATTTCCGGACCTATGTTTATATAACTTTTTCTTCTTTTTGGGTCCCAAAGTATTGCGAGCGATTTTCTGGACATCCTGTATAATGTATGTTATTGCAAATTGTACAATGAACATCTAATTGAAGATGATTGATAAGAAAATACAATTACACGTCAAAGAATTTTTCCATTTTTATTTAATCAGATGTGTTTCTTTTCATCTATATTGATAAATAAAAAATAATAAAAGAAATTGTAAGCCATGTAAGCTAATATAAACGATTAGGATATTTATGATATGATATATTTAGACATTAGAAGGGTTCTGATGGTAGAGTTAGCCATTTTCACAAATATATACAAATTTTTGAAAGACTCTTTCTATCTCTCTCTCTCTCTTTTAATCTACAAATATATTTTTTATAAATATATTTTATAAAAATATATTTGAACTAAATAGTGACTAAGTAGTGAACCAAGATTACCTCTTTCTACATTAATAAGTTAAGAATAAGTTTTATTGAGTTATACGTTTTAATATTAAACTATTCACTTATATTGCAGATCCTTCTAGTGTTGTAATAATACACAAAACGGGAGTGGTGATTTGATATAAAGTGATGTTTTATTAATAAACATTCCCTATTAAAAAAAATATAAATATTTATACAAACACTTGTTTTATACTTCTTTTTTTACATTTCTACGTACATGTGTATAAAAATGTAACTTATTTAATACATGGTGCTATGTGTAATGAAAATATTTTATCCATTATTGTGCAATCGAAAATATTTCGTCTTCTTTTTATAATCTTTTTTTCCTAAGTAAAGATAATTGTTTAAGGTAAAGATAATTGTTATCGCAATATGTATATTATCAATATTGTCTCTTAACTCTCTTTCTCTTTTTCTTATTCTTCCTAATCGTCTATTTTCACCTGATAATAAATAAAGATTCTCCACGATATTTTATATAATTAAAAGATTGCATATTTTTTTAGAATTGCATAAAAACTTTCCACGGATTTATATTAATTGGACAATACTAGATTTTTAAAAAATTCAAACTTCAACCATATTCGTTTCAACCATATTCCTTTTCTTAAGAATCGTCTATCATTAATACATTTCTGTATACATCACTAATACATTTCTGTATGCATTCTGCAAGGTCACGGTTCAAAAGCTTTCGATCTCGTCTACTTGTACTGAGATTTCTCGATCGGTTTGAATAATTACCCAGCTTCCGTTGGCATTCAAGTTGTGAATGTTTATGCTCTTTGACGAGAAGACATTTACGATATTGGCGAGATCTTGCACTCTGTTTGCACGATACAAGCAAATATAATCGCTGAATGCGATGCCATTTGCGAAAACAGCGTCGTCCAAAGCGAGCAGTAGCAATTGATTGTCACGCACTGTCCCTGTAATAAACAATAATTTAAATATGGATATATTGTATTTTGTATGTTAATATGTGTATTTTATGTATATTTTATTTGCAACTTTTTAATCTTATAGATAACATGATATAATATTTTTGTTAATAAAATATTTATTTCAAATATTAAGAATAAATAATAACGAAATTATTATCATATTTTGTTAAAAATTTGGAAAATTCTTACAAGAGTTCTACTAAAATTTTAAATAAATTGTCAAGAATTTATTCTTAATATTTGAAATGATAAAAACAAAAATAAATAACAAGTTTGTAAGAGTGCCTAAAAATTCGATCGAAAAATACTCTATTTATTTACTAATTTCTTTATAATGAAATATATAATTACTTTTTTTATATATTTTCAAAGATTTATATTTTTTTAATGTTTAATATGTCAAGAAGTCTAAAATTCTTTAGAGAAAAGTTAAAATCGAAACCTATAGATAGATTATCGTCAAACTTTATTTACTTCAAAATCCTGAAGAATGTTTTATTTAATAGTTTAATATTACCTTTAATAATATGCTCTTCGACTTTCACGATAACTGCTTTGTTGTCGCCCTCAACGTGGCTCTCTTGCAATCTTATGCCGATATCTTGCGCCAAAGTGGGCGCGTTAATTAGATTTAGGCCATTTTTCGTTTGACCGGTCAATATACCGACCAGAACAGCCGTATGTATAAATTGTTTGTCTTGCATACCACTCCCTACAGTCTGACTGTGAATGATTGTGTCTAGTTTGCCCTTGAGGAAGCGACCGGCCAATTGACCCAATTTCTTTGACAATTCTATCCAAGGTTCATTCTCATTCGTCATGGCGGCAGATAAAACTGGAGCGTTTACGATACCGGTGACAGCATATTCCGCCGATTTGCCGGACAAGCCCAGAAATTGTTGAGCAATCTCCTCCGCGACTCGTAGCTGAGCCTCGGCCGTACTAGCACCTTTTTGTATAAAAAATAATGAATTACTTTTATTATTTCTAGAAACGAAGCGTAATGTGGAACAGTGCAGCAAATATTAATTTATTTGATCAAATTTCATTAAAATAATAAAATAGAAAGAAAAGTTAAATCAGACTTCGAAAATATAGATGTTTAAACGATTAATTGTCGCGCGAAAAGTATAAACGAAAAGTACCAAGATGAGGTGTCGCGACCACTTTTGGATGTTTAATGAGTTCTAAGGTGACCGGATTCTTCGGTGGCTCTTCCACAAAGACGTCCAAAGCTGCTCCGCCACAATGTTCGAGCTTTAATGAATTCAAGAGAGCCTCTTCATCAACAATGCCACCACGTGCGACATTAACGATGTATACTCCTTTCTTGCATTTCGCCAAGGTTGTCGCGTTGATCAAATCTACGAGCAAAAGATTATATTAATTAGTAATTGTTTATAATTTTCCATATTATTAAATTAGTGCAAAAGATTTGTTGCTTATGCATACTCGGATCAAGTTTTATCTTAAATTATTTATATTATATCTGAGACATTTTGAAAACAAATGTTAAAAAAATTACTCATGTTGACTAATAAAAATTCGACATATTATGTAATTTTATTTTCCATTTTCGACAAATCTTTGGCATCAAACTATATAATAATTTCGCAATAAAAATGACTCGTACTTTTTGTTTGAGGTATTAGCGGCGTATGAACAGTGATGTAGTCAGCCACGGGCCATATATTTTCCAAATCGAGCAATCTGACACCAAGCTCGTCGGCGACCTCGGGCTTCAAAATCGGGTCAAATGCTACAATATTCATGCCGAAGCTCTGCATTCTATAGGCTACCTCGCGACCTATGCGACCCATTCCGAGGATCGCAAGAGTTTTGCCGGATAATTCGTATCCCGAGTAAAGTTTCCGATCCCATCGACCCTCTTTCAATGATTGCGCGGCTTGTGCAACATTACGTGCAAGCGAAGAGATCAAAGCGCATGTTAGCTCACAAGCGCTGATACTGTTGCCTCCCGGAGTACTGCAATTGTCAAAACAAATAATGCAATTATGTACCAATAATGCAATTATGCACCGCGGCTGTCAATCAAATTAATTGTTATATTTGAATTTTCTTTATAATCACTCGTGTTTTGAAAATATTTTTCGTATTGCTTGAGTCTTCTCGAAGTATATTTTAAGTCTGATTAAATATAATAATTTGTTTAAATATTAATCAAGTAACTGTTATAATAAAAGGAGTTTTCTGTCACTGATTAATAAGATCTTCTAATTCATAAATTATTTTAAAGTTTTTAAAAAAGATTTTACAAGAAAAGATAGCATTCGATGAAGTCATTTTAAATGATAACTTTTGTAAACCCGTAAAATTGCTTTTTAATTAACTGTTGAATTGTTTTTTCATCTTTATTTTTTTGTTATATTGTAGACAAGATAGAAGAATACCAAATAATATGTACATACTTTAATACAATTACTCCTTTACGTGTGGCAGCTTGAAGATCTATGTTGTCAACGCCGGTACCAGCTCGTCCAACTACGCGAAGATTTGGACAAGCGGCAAAAACATCCGCCGTAACTTTGGTCTCAGATCGAACGATAAGAGCATCGTGATTCTATTCGACAGACAAAAACATATGTTGATGTATATAGATTTTCATTTCTCTTAAACAATAAAAGTATAATTAGAAAATATAAAATATATGTATTTGATATATTTTAATTGATAAAACTATAATTATTATTATATAAAACATATTTTGACATGTCTCTGAGATATAGAAAAGAATTAATTTAATAATTTTCGTTCTAGCATTTTTTTATATAACTTATTTATAATTACTTATGTATAATTAAATAATATGAATCGATTCATTCTAATCTTATTGCTTAAAAAGATTACCGCTGCAAACTAATTATTGAATTTGCGCAAAATTGAGAGACATGTATTCCACGTTTAATCAATTTAGGCTTATTATAATTATCTGCACAAGAGATAACGTACAGCTGCATGGCCTATCGTAGTTATTTTCGAATTGCGATACATTTTGTAACATATTCTTGCGAATAAAAGGAAATATATGAAGCAAAAATACTGAAATATTTTGTAGCATGTATGTTTAAGAAATATGTTATATATCAACTATTATTAATAATATGAATAGATATTTGTAAATATATTACAATAGTTTATAAATTTGTCATTAACAGAAGAATAATCTTTTTCTTAATTTTCATATTTATTTCAATTTCAAATTTAATGTATCTATTTCTTGTGAAAAAATTTTATTTGGAAATATCAAATATGCAGAAAAGAAACGGCGATAGAAAGAAGAGATTTTAAACTTAACGTTTTATTCTTTAAATAATTTATACAACTTCACGAATTAAATTCCTATGAATTCTTTTTAAATGATCTATTTTATTCGAGTTTTTTTTTCTTTTCAACTATATAATAAGTGAAATTAGGTCCAGAGAAGAGAGAGCTTTTCTTATTTCTTTTCCTAAAATCTATTTATTTTTATCCAAAATTTTCTATTTTTTTATTTATATTTACCGCAATTTGAGAAAGACTTCCAAAATCTACAATTTTTTGCTTCAAATTATTGATATAAAAGAATTTTTAGTAATTTCTTTTTACTTTTATCTCACAATTAGTTGAAACTTATGTTGCATTCAACGGATCGCGTTCACGCATATAATATCGATTTATTTTAATTGCACTCATGCATTCATTTCTTAGGTTTTCTAATAAGAGCAGAAGGAGCGAGATACTAAAGTCAATAAATGTATGGATAAATGCGAGAATGGAGACGGAATAGAACAAATCTCCTTGTACGAGCGCCTATGTGTGTAGACATGTGGTATAAACCGGTGGTACAACGACCCGTCACAGAGCTAACCGGTATTCGTGCCAGCCGATTCAACTGGATTTAACCGGATCGCCGACTCGAATGCACGCAATTAAGACAAGAAAAAATAAACAGAGACGGGGAGAACCAAAGGAACGATAGAGACGGAAAAAGGGAGAGGAAAGACGCGTCCGCCATACGGTCTCTGCATACATATTACTTTATAACGTTGCATTAAATCGAAAATGTCTCGCTTTAAGATTGGAATATTTGACGCTTAAAGATTTGTACGATTTAGAAGAATGTAAATATTTTACATATAATTATTTTTATAGTTTAAATAGATGATCTATAATTTATAAAATTTAAATTTCAGGAGAAATATATAACATTTTAAAAAGCATAAACTTTTCATATAAAATTATAACAATTATAACAATTTTTTATTGTAATGTGGATTCGTTGTCTTATTATGCCAATGTGTGAAATTATGACTGTGATTCAATTCTCAGAATTTTTTTGACTTTATTATATAACTTACAGTTTTTTTTCGCATATTGCAAAAATGCGCAAACAAGAGATATAACTTTGAACTCATTTTCTTCCGCTTTAGATACAAAATATCTAATAAAATTAAAATTGCGGCATGTTGAATGTATACGAGTATATTCACAAACAAATAAATTATTACTTGCTTAATTAAAATATTAATACATTCTACATGTTTTACATAATTAATACATTCTACATATTTTACATAATTATTTAAAAAAGAGCAAAATATTTTATTATTCTTATTTTATATATGTAACATTATTTTATATTTGGTAATATAAAATATAAATAGCACTGATTATTTGAAGTAAGTAAAATTTTATCTCTCTGTGTGTTTAAGCTTAATCGGTTTATTGAGATTTTTACGTAATGCATATGGAAAAAACAGTATTTGATTGATAAAATCGGTTTAGTGCAAAGGCGAAAAAAAAATAGTTTATTTATATAGGACGAAACATATTTCAATTTTAGTTGGACACTTTTTTATCCACGTTTTTGTTAAAATATATATTTATATAGTATATTCACAAATCGAATAATAAAAGAAATAAAAGGGCTTATTTGAGGGTATATAAAATCAATTCATGTTTGAAAAATATTTTTTGCATTTTCCCCCTTTCACAGAGAGAGAGAGGGAGAGAGAGAGAGAGAGAGCTCTTTTTTATAATTTCATGTGTAACTACATTTTTTTGCACAGTTTTCTTACCAGTATGGTCCATTATCACAATTGAATTTATCTCTTACACATGAATTCCAATGTAATCTAATCTTGTCGAAAATTTGTTTTCATTTGATTACGTAGTATTTCTCGTATGATAAATTATGCGTCGACATTAATTTGTAATTATAATCATTAATAGTCCTACACGCAAAAAACTTTTACAATCTCCGAAATTAAAATATCGTTATTCATAATCCCAAAATTATTAACATATTTTTTTAAACAACAGCAACTCTAATAAAAAGCTTTTCAAGTGATAAATTTGTTTTTTCATAGCTTTTCGTTAAAAAATGCAACGAAAAATATAATAAATTACATTTCTAGCTGTCGTTTCATTTCATTTAACTTTCAGCGAATTTGATGCACAATATTCATTGAAATCAATAAATATGGAAAACTTTATACAATGCAAATATTGCTTAATGGATATATAAATATACCGATAAATTTTCTTTGAAACGCACAAGATACTTTTTTAATTGTTACAAAAGCTCAATAATTGTGAATCGAAAAAGATAATAATTGTAGAATTTAAAAGAGATCAATAAATATAGCTTCCAATTTGAAAAATACTGTTGAAATAAATCAAATTTAAACTCAATTTATAATAACATCGGTATATAAAAGACACATTAATATCGTCACAAAAGAAATATCGATGCTTTGAGAATAATCCATCATTTTGTAATTTAAATGTAATTAAAAAGAAACATTTTTAAACATTTAAGATTAAAATGTTATAAATTAGTCATAAATTTAAAAATTTATAACGATAAAAAAATCATAAAATAATAATAAAAAATCATAATCTCTTAAATAAATAAAAAGTCATAATCTTTCAAATAGAAAAATTTTTCAGAAACAAAAGAAAAACGAAATCTTATCTTTACAATCAATCTTTGATATTGAAAAGATTGATGACTTTGCGTTTTTCCTTATATAACTCATCTTTACTTTACTTTATTAAAGCATAATATGAAAATTATTTTCCTAATTTTGATCCGCTTACCTGTAATTCATTAATCAATTCATCCTTTGACAGTTTATGTTTCGTGGTAACTGGAATGCCATGTTCTGTCAATAACGCGCCACAAGATTTATCCACGGGATCACTTATCAAGACGCTGCTGAGCTTGACCGACATGTTATCCTTGAACAAAAAATCCTTGAATAATGTTTATGTTCACAGACAGTATTTCTATCCGCTTATAGTTAGAGACGTTGGATGCAATAATAAAATGATATGACTTGAAAATTTAGTACATTATGATTAAATCTCGTAATTAATTGCTATAAAATAACATGATTTGAATAAAGCTGAATAAATAAAGCATTATTAAAGTATGGAAATAACATAAAATTGCGTAGCAGTTAACGGAGATATATCTATCAAAATGTACATATTTTTTGCAATAAAAAAAGAACATTACTAGTCGATAAGGTTATATAAGCAAGATTTTCTTTCGTGTTTGATCAAATGGACTACAGAAATTTTTTTTCCAGTGTATTCTATTCAATGTATTCTATTCAAATTTTCTACGACGCAACGTACTAATTTACATATCAATACTAATAATAAAACGTATATATGCAAAAAATAATTGTACTGAAAATGATTATATCTTCAAAGATTTTATTGGCTCATCACGATGCTTCTCAAATGTTAAAAGATGAAGAAAAATTCTGTTAGAGTATATTTCAAAGTGTTCTTTTCTTCTCGTATAACAAAATCTATCATAAAATAAAATCGCACTTGAACAATAAGGTCAAAAGATAGTTTTAAAAAAATCATCGAGATCTATGTTTTTAGATTACATATTATTTTACATTATGATGCCACTGTAACATTTTTCGCATCCTTCGAAAATTTAATGTTGCAAGATGTGCTGTGCATTTGCGATAATAAAAAGTGATCGAGGAAAGCAACAAGTGTCAGATTTTGAACAATTTTCCAAGTCGAGGCGATTCTCTATTTGATCGCCAAGCGCGCATACGAGATGACAGATGATTTGAATTTGAATTTAAATGCAGGACCTACCTTTCGTAGCGTTTCTCTTTTTGCGTCGAAAATTTATGACGTCGTGGCAAATCGTAGTTTTTAAAAAAATAGGCACCGAAGACTCAACTCGTGACTGGTGGTATTCTGTATAGACGGTAGTCTAGCCGTAAACTGAGTCGTTCTACTGTGATTTATCTTCTTATAGCGGACTCCCCACTCTGACAAAAGTAGAATAAATTGTTGACAGACAACCTCGATCGTCTCTCTTCCCGGCTCTCGTCCGTTCGCTGACGAAAATTGCTCGATATACACATTCGGTGTCACGAGTCTTGCTTGACTAGGCATTTTCACGACGAATGTGTAAATAATTAATATGAATATTCATAGTTTCCTCTATTAACCTTGTATCATTTACCCATGAACTTTCCGTTTTTAATAATTATCAGTAAGATAACTTTGATAAACTGAAATAAAATGATAGAAAAACTGACATTTTCATGACAACAAATTATTCAAGATAATCTAATTCACGTGATTTACTTCTCTCTGTATAATGCATTCCTTATATATATACACACATACGTATGTATCGTGTGTATATATACGATACAAAAAATGTACATCACGTTTATATAATTTTTATCGATTAGAGACGTCTTCTTCTTCTGTAAAAAATGAATGATATGCTAACGCTGATAGTTGCAGCATTAACAACTTTAATTTTATTTCCACTGTTGCTTTATTAGGCTCGATATTTTATTACGAAACTGTGTTGATCATTAATAGCAATTAACTACGCCTTACGCACTTGATAGCAATAAACTACGCACTGCTATCTATCTCTACTGTAATTAATATAAATGTAATATATAGATATATATAAATTACATTTTTCATTATATATATATATGTAAGATAAAAATATAATTTTATACTATACACAAATGTTTTAGTGAAAATTTTAAAATTATTCGTGTATCACTTCCTTTTCGTTATCAAAAATCTTATCAATCATTGATAGATTTATATGTTAATTGTGAATTCACAATATTAAACTATTAAAAATCTAACAAATATATTTTATTCGCTTATTCCTTCAATTTTGAAATAGAAATATATTGATCTTGTAAATAAATGAACGAACAGAACTTTTTATTCGCCAAACTTATTCGATATCCAATATGTATTCTTCCTTCTCCTAAAGTCGGAATTTAATATTCAGCTTCAATCTATTGCTGTAGAAATATTCTCTCCATAAACGATACTGATGCTACGAATATAGATATATTTTTCATCATCATACAAAAAGAGTTATGTGTCGAGAATCATCGGGGCGTGCAATGAGAAAATGATGCAATTGCTGTGGAGGGTCCGATTCAGCGATAAATAATCGTATTATAGTATTATAGAGATATCTCGTAACGCGTTGGTGCAATCATCACATGCTTTTACCGTCTCTCTCTCTCTCTCTTTTTCCCGTGCAAATAACTCGATTTTCGCTCTATCTTTGCACACTGATAACGCGAACGCCACACGATGAGTTCCCCGTTTGCGATTTATAAAATTTTAAAATATTGATCGTAGTTTAAGCGACGTTAGGATTCAAATGAGCAAAAAAAGAAAAGAAAAAGTTTTTTCAATGACGGCATACAACAGATTTTTTAGACTTTGCAACTACATATTTCGTATAAATCAAATCGATAAAATGGAGAGATCAATTTTTGCAAGTTCTCATATATATTGTTTTCGTACATGTGGCAATCAAAATATAAAACAAAATATTAAAAAACACCACGTCATTGCAAACAGTGATACAGACGAGCGTCATCAAGAGCGAGAAATCATCCGACTGTTCCGGTACCCCCAGCGGACTGAATTATCTTATCAACGTGGAAAATAACTTCGAAGAACAGAGAGCGGTTTGTCTTCACGACGTGACAATGAGTCGAGTGCGCTTCGACTCGAAAATATTATTCTTACGCACTTTTCTACCTAGTTTTTCAGATATAATAGCAACTCTCGATTTCTCGAAAAATATGAGTCGTTATCCGAGTGCGTGTACACTGGAGAGGCGATAGACTCGTTTTAACTGGATCGAACGGCGATTAATCTAGTTTTGTATAATTATGTCTTTAATAAACTGATGCTTGCATCTCAAATTAGCCGATTATTATTTTATAATAATTGTGCTTGCAAATTTTTTTAAATCCAAAAGATTCCGTGGTTTTCTTTTATATGTATTTATCCAAGTTTATAGAATATATGAGAGAGACGGAGGGACAAAAAAGAGAAAATGATTAAAAAGATAATTTGGTATCCTAATAAAAAGAAGTTTGGCAAAAATAAATTTTACATCAAAAATCAATTCTTACTATTTTTTTACTATGCAGTAATTGCTCTAATGTGGCCAAAGATCTTATCTAGATAAAACTCTATTTAAATGACTACTAATTAGTACATAAATAATTTTATTTTATAATAAATAACTATTAAAAAAAACATTTTCTAGACAAGAAAATATAACCAGAAACTAATTAGGTCAAACGGATCAATGAGTAATGTCTTATGTCTAATCAATGAGTAATGTCTTATTTCTAATCACAACTTGGAATCTTTTGGTTTATTATCTTCTAACCAGATATAAAATATAATGATTTTATATTTATCTCTTTTTTTATTTCCATTAAGAGAAAGAAAAAGTTTCTTCAGAAAAAACAAATATACAATAAAAATATTAATTTCATAAGAGTTTTGATAACTTGATTCATTATTACAATAAATTAATTTATTACATTGAAAATAAATTTTATTAAATACTTTGTAAATTATATTAAAAATTCATGCTAAAATATTAAACGAAAATATTTTATAATTAACTCGACACCTTCGGCTTCTAATTTGCTGAGATATCACGGTTTATACTCGACTAAATATCGCGAAATGTTTTACTTATACTTCTTGCTACGAATTTATCGTATTTGCGATATCTTACCTTGATCGCAATTCCCGGACGTTCCTCAGGGGAGATATTCCTCGTTCTGTTCAGAAATTCTGGTTCCTTCTCTCTTAATCACAGCAAGAGAGGCTGATATAATTATTAAGTTTTTCATGTTATAAAACATTCTTGCTTTCCAAGTATCATCTAAATTATGAGAATCTTTCTTGGATAATTGATGTTATTATGTTGCATCTTGGAACGTTATATATTATTAATGACATTGTAAAATATCATATTTGAATTGTATAGAAAATATCTTGAAATATATAAGACCATATTTTTAATATTTAATAAAAACAAAGTAATTCAATATTATAACTACATGTATATACATAAATTATTAATGTTATTATCTTATAAAAATATCTTATAAGATATTTATATATTATCCTTTGTACTATAATGAGTATAATAACATGAAATATTATATCTTATTAAGTGTTCATTTCGCGATAAGCTTATCTTAATATTTTTATACGATAGGAAGAAAATTTCTGACGTTTAAAATTTCAAATTATAGAAATAAAAACATATATATATATATATATATACATGATTAGATGTTGCATATCATGCAGAGTCGCAAATTAAATTCATTTCACGTGTCTTGAAATGAAAATTGCCAGTACGATGTTTAACTACGATATTTATAAGCTACGACTAATAAGTAGGCAAACATTTGTTAAATAAGGATAGTCTTATATGATAAGAGTCAAAGCTGAGCGGAGAGAAAAACAGAAATCGGAATTAACCGGTTATACGAATATGAACTCGAGACCCCACCGAGATGACGGAAGGGAATGAAAGAAAAAAACAAGATAAAACTCTCACATGATTCGAGGGGGACAAGGAGGATACTATCTTTTGTATTGGAATATTAAAGGGCTAATTATCAAATCAAATAATCAAATGTTTCAAAATTATCAAATTACTTTTAAATAAATATGTTTCAATAAGAATGAAACAGCACTTATTTAAAAGGAATTCAAGCTTTTACAGCTTAATAAATTAAAGCTTGAATTAATTAATATTTTTGATTCTAATATGATAAATTCTAATATGATAAATGCTAATTTTATGTAACTTCATAAAATTGCAAATTTATATATGCAGAGAATATTACAAAATATTATATTTTCTAGTATATCTCAACGCGTTATCTTATATGTTATACATTTATAATTAGCAGGATATTACACAGGTTCCTTTAATCAACGTTTCATGTGAGAGGTGTACTATAGCCACATGAACTGATTTTTTAGAATCTTTGACAATAAATTGTATGATAAATAATCATCATGATTTTTTTATACAAGATGTGCATATTAATCAGATTATTATGCTGAAAATGAGATAAACTTTATTTGTTTATCTTTACTTTTTCATACATTTTATACCGAAATTTGAAATTGTGATGCAACTGTAAAAATAATGATTTCTTCCGCAAAAATAAGATGGAAATGTGGAATAAAATTTTTCATACGAAGCTTTGTTTCCAAGAAAATTAACTTCGAAAATTGGAAAACTAATAACATAGTTTTTTTAAGTTTAAGTGGCCAATGAGTATTCAAATAGAAAAATGTTTAGGAAAAATTACAATTACTGATTACAAGATTAGAAACTAGCCAATAAAAATTAACTAAATTTAGATTTATCGAACTGTTTAATGACTGAGTAAAAAATTCTGTTTAGATAAAATCTTATTTAGTAGACTACTAATTAGTATATAGATAATATTGGTTTTTAATAGTTTAATAATTGATGCTGTTGAAAATAATATTTTCTGAGCCAAAAATGGTTGAAAAGCAATCAGGTGGAATGCATAATTAGTTTATGCAAAATTTAGTTAATAAATTTAAAGGTAATAATTAAAATAATAATAATTAAATTTAGGTAATAATTAGTTTATACGAAAATTTAGTGTATTCTCGCTACAGTGGAAATATCCTGTAATTATGCTTTTTTAATTACAAAAACGTATTTTTTAATAAAGCATATAAAGTTTTAAAGGTCCATTTAATTAATTTGATGAATTTAAGAGTGAAACAAATAAAATATTACTATTAATAATTTTGAAGAATGTACATCCTGCTTTGATTTTTATATAATAATATCACAATATTCATAAAAAGTATTACAAATAGAGAGATATGTAGTTATTTAATTAATTATATATTTTATATGTATAATACGCGTGCGCATGTCATTGCAATCATAAAATGTTATATT